CGTCACACAAAGCGCGCGAAAGATAAACCCTTTGAAGGTTTTGCACGAACTAGAATCGGGTTTAAGAAGAAGGGGTTGTGGTTTAATCAGTGTAATGGCCTTCATCAAGACCACGCCCGCGGTACCACGTTCTAGCGTCCACCGGAAGCGATCGCCATTTTTCGATCGCGTTGGATCACGCTTTGTGCAGTGACGAGCGGCTGGTGCAAGATTGGGTGAATGGCAAGTAATCAAATATTGAAGAACTGAAATAAGGTTAATTTTTGGCTTGTCAAGTGTTGTGTATTATTTATATTACTTGTGATTGACAATGATAAGCAATATCGCAACGCTCTTCAAATGCATGGATGAATGCATTGGATGAAGAAAATTCATATGCAAGACCAATCAATGCAGTAAGTATTTATATGTTGTATAAATGCCCCATAGCTTAAATTATGCATGTGGTATTTAGACAAATCTTCCAAATGAAGATAAACCAGGATTAGCATCAGCTTGCCATTTTGGGGTCAACTGATTTAGGTATAAATTTGGCTGATTTTAATAAACATATGTTCTTGCTGATTAGTGCAATATTTTATCTAGCTGCACTTTATATGTTAAGTGCATTATTTTATTTTTGGAGTAGGCTCATGGTCTCTGAAGTCAATCTAAGTTTCTTTACTCCCTGCCTAACGCATCCGCCCGACTCTTCATTCTAGGGGACGAGGCCATCTCCGCTCTGATTGAGGCCCTGGAGTCTGAGGAGAGCGTCCTGGCGCGCGGAGACGTCGACATCGTCGAAAACGCTGGCTTGAAGCTGGTGGTGGAAGGAGAAACTGTATGTGATTTGGGAGAATGCGATATCGCTACCCGGCTGCTGACATGGGCGATAGCGCATACTGTGTTTGGGAAAACATCCACTTGCTATAAAAGCTAAAAATGTGTTCATATTTGTACAGAAAGCAACCCTGAGCGTGAAGGAATCAACCTGAATAATTAAACATGCCCGAAAGGCTCTGGAGTTCTTTGGCTTGGATGTGTAAGGCAAGTGACACGGCCGAGGGGAAAGCGTTCTTGCAGGCTGATTGCGGGCTGATCGCAGGCTGAATGCGGGCTGGTTGCGGGCTGATCGCATGGGCTGGTTGCGGGCTGGTTGTTCTTGACTGGAGACTTGCAGGCTGATTGTCAGAGTAAAGAGGAAGGTAATACATTTTAAGGTGTATCAAATACTGTGTTTGCGCAGCAGATGTGACGGCGCAGGTCGATAGCCATGCATGGGAGGTTCAATAGACGATTGAACGGGGATTTTGCGGTATTGCAATAGAACTGAAAGGGTTCTACAACCGATATTCAGAACACAGGGTGGTTTCCCATATAAACCTCAGGGACTTCTTCACAGACCCTTTGGGGTTCTTATCTAGGTGCTAGGAACGCTCTTATTATAAACCCTAAACCTCATAAGAGTCTTTGGAAGAATCGTGTGGATTCTTTTCATGAGAATGCAAAGCCGTCTACGTGAAGAACCATGGGGGTTCTGAAAAACGGTGGCATAACATTTTACCCCACAGGGGTCTAAATACCCCTGTACGTTCTTAACGTTCTTCCAAAGTGTTTTCAGTGCATTTCCTACCATTTTTCCGTTTGGCGGTCATGGTTGCAAGTCTTACAACGTTCAGCTGCTCTGTCCAAGTAAAGGAAGCTTCCAGCTTTGGTTCAAGCATCGCACGACCGCTGCTTCTGAACTCCAGCAGCCAAATTCCAAGCGGCCTTTTCGGAATCTTTTGGTGTTCATCTATTCAACCTGATCAGCATTTCTTGCAAAGCGGCTTATCTCAGCAATTATATTCAATAATGCCATTGCTTACCACTGATTGAATAACAAATCGCATCACATTTCGATTGATGTCCCATCTGATGCTCATGATATAGGCTGAGAAGCTGAACAAGTGATCAAAGTTAAACCGATACCAAGAAGCTCACAATCGTAAAACACAAAGACTAACATTTGTTGTCGGTATGATATCCATCAAGGCTCAGCAGCATCGCGTCAAATAAGGAGCATATGTGTGTCACTAAATAAGGTATTGTATTGATCGCTCAAATTGTTTGTGTGATTTTGGAAAGTAACGAGGATTTTACACTTCTTTCTATAACTACAAATAGGATTTTACCACATAATCACATCTTTCCAATTGCTGTCGGAGCACTAATCCGCTTGTTTGTTCCACATTGGGACGCAGAGTCGGCGGACGAGCACACGGTCTGCCGCCGGGGTCGACTGCTGACCGGCAGACTGGTTGCGGTGGTAGATGGCCAGTTATAGTGTCAGACGACAGAATGGCCGTGGTTGAAGACGATGCGTCATAATGGCATAATCAAGTAGATTCGAAAATAAGCAAATGCTGCTTTACGTTTGCTGACTACATACTGACCAGCGTACACTAATTCAGGGGACACTAATTCAGTTATTCCCTAAGTATTCAGCGTGTTTCTCTCTTATTCTCTTTGACGCTTTCTTGTTCTTTTTTCTACCTATCATTTTTATTCCTATCTTTTTTATTTCCTTTATCGCTCTACGCCTCTCGTCTTTTCGCCCTCACTTAACATGCGCATTTCGATCTCACTTAGTTGACAATAGAGGAATGCAGCACCCCTCGTACACCGTCGCCCTTTCTCCTTGGAGCGGCGTATCGCCAGACGCCCGATCATGTAAATCCGTGCCTCCATTGGAGCCCGCCACTTGCAGTGGCCATTGACGGCATTCAGACAGGAAATTGAGCGGCGCCGCCGGCCGGTGCGCTCTGTTGTCGGCACCTTGCTCGGCTCAGCGTCTGACATTTGATGGCTGCTGAGCCACAATAACCGGGTCCGGTTGGGGCGCGCGGTCGCGGCGGGAGGCAGCGTCCTTTTCCTGCGGCGACGGACGCCAGTGAGATGAAACGTCCGCCGTTCACCACACCCGAACGGCCACCACCTGATCGTACTGGAGATCGTAGAGGTGGAAGGCCCCGGTCGGCTCTGGAAGCGAGACACCACTCTGTTATTCGCCTGCATGTATATGACGCCAATGGCTTAGGATTATCCCATAGAAAAAAAATGAAAGGGACCGACGGCGTTCGGAATTGTGCCAACGGTCGCCTACTTTGGTGATAAATTGCGCTGGCGCCGGCTCCAGTGGCCATGAAGCGCCCATTAGTCATAGAAATTGTAGTAGTTATGCTCGCCGGCAACTGTCTCGTTCAGTTTTATTTCTTGGCATTATTTCTCACCAGCTTGATGAACTTGTATCCACTCGCTGCGAGAGGATTAATGAAATTACTGTAATAATTTATATAATAAGACGAAATCGATGTTCAAATTGCTTCTAAGGTCCGGTTGTTGTTAAGGAAAATGGACTCTATGAACTGACGAGACAGGAAGGGCTGCTGATTTTCAACACAGGTTTCAGCATTTGCTCGAAGAAACCCATCGTAGTTTTTCATTGATGCTTTTTTCTTACGGGCTTGCCAATAAATAAAGGTGTGTCACTTGAATAAATACAAAGATATGCTGTGCATTCAGATTTCATTCAACAGTTGTGAGGAGTTGTGACAATTATCTTAGTTGTGCTTTGCATTAGCTCAAATGTACTCAGGAATATAATCCATATCGAAACTTATTGCATAAAACTATAGCGGTGGCGTCACTATTGAGATGATGATTGATGTTGCTCACTTCCGCTTCTCGAAGTCTCTCAAAGAGTTCAAACTCTATTAACCCGCGCCCTGCTGGGGGGGGGGGGTGTTTGAACACCCCCCCTTGTGGTTTTTCGCGAATATCTCTGGTACACCTTATCATACATCAATTCTACACATGTTGTGAAAATTTCAGACCAAGGTCATTCAAGGTCAGGTCACCAGGTCACTTGAAGTGACCTCACCACATAAAAAGTTTCAATGTCTGTCATAGCTACACCGAGTGACCGATCCCTTTGAAACTTTCAGCGATTGCTAAGAGTAATAGCATGTACAAAATGTATATCTCAGAATTTTGATATCGATGACCTAAGGTCAGGTCAATTTTGCGACCTCCCCATTATAAGTCAATGGGAGAAAATTGAAATGCGCCTCTTTTGGACGAAAGACATTATAAACACTCCCAAACACTGAATTACAAGTGGTTTAGACACACTGAACATGAAAATGGTGTCCGTGACCAATGTTTATGCCCTGAGGTCATCTTAGGTCACAAATGGTATCTAACAGTTTTTCGCAAATAACTTTTGATAGAGGCATGCTAGAGCGATGAAAACGCCTTAGATGTGTTCAGCTCGACGATACGGATCGACTGATATGCAACATGACCCTTTCCGGTCAGGTCATGACCTTGACCTGAGGTCAAATTTTCAAGTTGACCTTTCAAGGTCAAGTTATAGTTCATTCGATGCGTCTTGACGAGAGGAACACGATGCCGGTAAAAGTAAGCTCGTACAAGGCTTGGGTCAAAAGTTATTGCAGAAAAACTGTTTCCGAAAAAAATCGGCTATTTTTGCAGTTTTTGCCCCCTGCAGGCAAAACCGTTGACGTTAGGTCAAATCTGAGAGAATTACTCAGAAAGGGCGTTAATAGGGCTATCGAATGCGATTTTCCGCAGCGCTGTAGCTCTATTGGTTCCCGAGTTATGCGTTGGCTTCTTGGAAATTGTCGACATTCGACCTGGAAATCGGCGAAATTTTGCCTTCAATGACCTCTGGTGACCTGACCTTTGACCTGACCAAAAAATTGACTGAAGTGATTTCTTCATTATTTTTTACGCTCTTTCGAACGCCGCCTTCCGCGTATCGCTACGTGGCCCAGGAGCCGAGTTAGAAGGGGGGGGGGGTGTTCAAACACCCCCCCCCCCCCAGCAGGGCGTGGAAATCCATGACCCCCAGCTGGGCGCGGGTTAACATAAGTATGGCAGAGCTAAGCAGCGCTAACAAAAAGCCTATCTTTGTCAGTTTGCGATGTTGGTATCCTCCTGACTAAGCATGTTTTCAGGTATCATGGATACGGAAGAAGGATCTACACATTCTCACCTTGGGAACGTTCAGCTACACCACCGACGAGCGATTCAAGGTTAGTCCACCAGGCTCTGTGCTAGCTGACAGCCTTATGTAAACCTTGCCGGCCGAGGGGGGGGGGTGCCGCCCCCATAGGTTTTTTTCGCAGTAGCTCCCAACACGCTGGCGATAGAGAGCTGAAACTTGGCATACTTGGCTTTTAATTCAAGCTGGATCTTTAGACACCAACCGCATTTTCAGATAAGGTCAGGTCACTGACCTATGACGTCATGAGTGAGACTCTGCACGGTGTTCAGATGTCGCAAATTCGCAACGCCCTCACTGCCAGAGGAACTTTCACAGGGAAATGAAACTTGCAGGATTTAGTATCCATTACGAGTCTCACAACTTGTTTATCTCCGATTTCTCCTAAAGGTCATATGAGGTCAGGTCATTTTCGTGACCTTAGCAATATAAGTCGATGGGGAAAAATGAAAATTGCAATTCTGGCGCCGGGAACGATCTCCAACTATCTCAAGTACACAGAATCGTGATTTGATGCGCTCCTTGCGCTCCTTGCAAGGTTAGATGCGTCACTTTTGCAATGTTGACCTTGCATGACGTCATTTATGACGTCATCAGGGTCATTTTAGCTTGTCGTCAATAACTCCTGATCCAATTGAGCTAGCGAGTCGGGAAAGCCACCAATGGAGTCAGGAAGACCTGCCGAATCGAATGATATGTGACATGATCTATTTCGACCAGCTTCGTGACCTGGGGGCGCTGACCTGACCGTGACCTGAGGTCAACACCCTAAGTTGACCTAACCCAAACAAAAAGTATATCATTCGACGCGCCTGAGCAAGGCAAACACGATGCTACCAAAATCGCGCCTCTGCGGCCGTTTTTGGCGAAGTTAATCATCAAAAACTGAACCGTACCTTGGGGCACTTGACCTGACCTCAGAGGTCACCGGTTTACCTAGGACCTTAAAATCGGGTGGTATCAATCTCTGCGAGGGAGGGAGTCGTACCCGCCCCCCCCCCCCATCTCCGCCGGTGCGTATGTAGAAAACCAGTAGGTCCGGTGAGGGTTAATACGGCCACTGCTGGTAGATAGACTGGCCCGCAGTACAGCTGGAGCCTATAAGATAGACTGGCCCGCAATACAGTCGGCCCCTGGTAGATAGACTGGCCCGCAGTACAGCTGATGCCTGGGAGATAGACTGGCCCGCAATACAGTCGGCCCCTGGTAGATAGACTGGCCCGCAGTACAGCTAATGCCTGGGAGATAGACTGGCCCGCAATAGAGCCGGCCCCTGGTAGATACACATAATTAAAGGCCGTTTTCACGACGGGACTTTCGCGGCGGAACCTATTTGATACCTGGAAAGTACATACCAGCCCTACAACTTTTGAAACCCTACAACTTAAGTATTTTGCCTTCAAAATATTTTTAAGAATTGTAATTTGTAATCCAGGCGATTTTCGCCATTAACTTACCGTTATTTATATACCAACAAATCAATTTTCGGTTCTAGTAGCCCACCTTTCGACTATGAGGGATCAAATCAGTCTGGCAACTAAATACCCGGCTTCTGTTTCACCGGCCCAGCGCTGCGCTCTCCCCGTGTGGTGGTGCCAGGACGCAACAAATCCGCCGCCGCCTTAGCAGTGACCTTGACCTCCGCCGTCTGCTGCGGTTCCAAAGCCAAGCCAGCGTGGAATTGGGAGAGCTCAGTCACCCGTAGCTGGCAGCTCAGTACATTTCCTAATCATTGTAGGTACTATAGCATTATATAGATTTGAGAATTTCATGAACGTGCTTACGCTTTAGGTTTACGTGAGTGGTAAACCCTTAGATAAAATAGATTAATGTAATATTTAGAAGAAAAAACAGCAAAGTAACGGGCCACTCATTCGAAAGGTGGAAAACCTACCATAAAGAACTACTAAAATTCCTGAGGTATCAACGGACCAAACAGGTATCTATTAGGTACCCGGTATTTCGTCGCGAAAACGGCTACTCTGGTGCGAATTTTGCGAAGCACGGGTGATGACATTTGTCTGATTATGCATCCATCTGTGTTATAATCACTACAGACACATTCGTTTCACCGAAGGCTGCACTCGCATCACGCCATCGCCAGGGCCAGTTTAGCCGAAATATTGTGACACTGAGTACCTATCTAAACCAACCTTTAGGCCAAGCAACCATTCTTTTTTTTGCGTTTTTGACTGTTTTGGTTTCTCCTTTGTTTTCAAATGGTGTTCCTGGTAATGACGATGTGCGTGTAAACCACCAGAGCGTTATATGTAGAGTTGCAAAATTTCCCTACCGCACTACCGGCATGCCGGTAATTTTTCACTACCGCAGGTTTTTTCGTGGTATCTGGCATGTCTTGCCGGTAGCATGCCGGTATTTTTGATTTTGCACAAAAAAAAAATTATCAGCATATGATTCAAACTTTGGACACTAAGAGGCTATTGAATTGTAATAACAGCAATCTTAGCCACTGCAAAATACATTTTGTGGTAGAAGTTCCATTGCTAAGGGTATTGGTAACACATGAACCTCAGAATTTCACAGGTTTGGCTCTAATTAGAATTGTCAAGAATCTACTATGGTCTATCAAAGGAAGACAAAGAATACTCATTCATGTTGCAAAAGCATAACCAATTAGTAAGTCTGATGGTAGGTAATAGGCATAATACAATAACTAAAATAAATAAATGTTCATGGCAACATTCCCTAGGCAAAAGGCAGAATCAAAACAACACAAAACACATTGTTTGGAAACTGGCCTTGAGTCCTGAGATGTGGTCTGAGATACTCTACAAAGAATTTGACACTGAAAATCCAGCTGAAAAGGCAGGTGTTTACATTTTGTGGTAGAAGTTCCATTGCTAAGGGTATTGGTAACACATGAACCTCAGAATTTCACAGGTTTGGCTCTAATTAGAATTGTCAAGAATCTACTATGGTCTATCAAAGGAAGACAAAGAATACTCATTCATGTTGCAAAAGCATAACCAATTAGTAAGTCTGATGGTAGGTAATAGGCATAATACAATAACTAAAATAAATAAATGTTCATGGCAACATTCCCTAGGCAAAAGGCAGAATCAAAACAACACAAAACACATTGTTTGGAAACTGGCCTTGAGTCCTGAGATGTGGTCTGAGATGCTCTACAAAGAATTTGACACTGAAAATCCAGCTGAAAAGGCAGGTGTTAGGTAGCCCTGAGCCTAACGTTGGTCCCAAAATGAAATGAAAATGAATTAAACTGGCATTTTGTCTTATCTTTACAAGAAATACAACATGCAGACGAAATGAATGCAAAGTGGCGCAATGTGGCGCAATGGCAACCAAGGATTGACTTTTAAGATCCTCTGTCCCCCTAATGAAAGGATGTAAGCTGATGACGTAATATTTATTCATATGCCCTTTTGGTTGAATCACTCAAGAGAAATCAATTTTCTTGTAGTGAATAACACTCACAGTGTTGATTTCATTGGAATTCAATATCGTGTTGGATGATTTTTATCAATAAAATCATTCACGAGGCAGAAGTTTGCAGTCCTAAAATCTTTTTTTGCAGTGTTTTAATCAGCTGGTTAAAAACTGTGTTATGGCGCATCTGTTTCGAAATCCTTTATAACCTTGTGTTTGTTTCCGCGTTTGAGATGGGGGAGGATATTATATCGTTTTTATACATATTATTTGGTGACTTCTCAGGACAAGTGAGTTATTAACACATATTTTTACATGATTCGTATCTTACTCACGAGCCAGCAAGCCATGGCGGATAGGATGGCCTTGGCGGATAGGAAAAAGCTGATGTCGATCTCGCTTCCTCAGTTAGGAACATCGCCGAATCTGTAGTTTTTTATATTGTGATTTGTGACTATCTATAGTTCATTATTTGGTTGGTACCTGCAACATTTTAGGAGAATGTGGAAAATAAAAATTAAGAACGCTTGTGGTAAATGTGATTGCTGCTCACTGTGCAATCTTCAGAAACACATTTCAGTAATTCAAGTTCTTTTTGTCCTTGCTATTTTGATGAATGTGTTAATGCTTTTTGTAGGCAATACCTTTTTGATTACAGGTGATATTTTAACAGCTGTAGACTGGAATTGAGTTTCAAAATTGTGGTGTTTGTGGGGCGAACTCAGCCAACATCAGGCTGCTGGTAGTTTTGGTTGAACAATGGGTGGCTGCTGGGTGGGGCAGCTACTGAAATTGCCAAAATGTGGCATCTCATGTAGGGGTAAGCCAGAATCAAGAATGCAGGTTTTTTGGTATGCCGGTAGTTTGGTGGTTTTTTTGCTTGGGGCGTGGTAGCATGCCGGTATCCCAGAAAATTTTTGTGGGGCGGGGCGGTGCCGGTAGCAGCCCATTGGGAAAACTTTGCAACTCTAGTTATATGTTCCGCTGTTGATTAAGATTTTAGCAATAAAGGCGACTGCTTCAGTTATCATTATGCTTTACTGCTTGCACGTATCTTCTGTAATTAAACAGTTAAGATCGTAGCGTTCAGCTGACGGACTCTTGCGCAACGCAATAAACTGAAAGTCGACGCGACGCAATAAATCCATCCAAGCGACTGCCGTCAAATTGATCCCAAGGCGTTGTCTGACGCCAGTCGCAGAACCGGCGCTGAACTGGGATTCAGCGGCAAGGCTGCAGGTCGACATTTATCGGCCAATCATAGTCTAAAGCTTCTACACCACTTTACTTCCCAAACTTTTCCGGCCGAACCCCCCCCCCCCCCCCCAAAAAAAGAAATCCTGCAGTGTCGGAACCAACGAAATGATGCTCTTGGAAACTGCTGTGACATATTTACATAATTTAAATGATGGAAGCTTGCAGAATAAAACGGTGTTGCAGCTACGTTTCCAAGGGTGATGCAAGGTCTAAATTCATTTTTCGCTCTTCCACAGAAATAAAAGGTAACTAGTATTTGCTTTTGCTATTAAAAGTCTCAGCCCGAAGTAATCGGGATGTTTTGCGCTCATAATCGAAATTACCTGTCCAGCCTCACTGATTGATCAACATAATACCTTTTTG